CGGGGCGAGTGGGGAGGTCACGTACGTGCGCTGACCGCCCCCGGCCAAGCGGCGCGTGCGTGGGGACTAGGGGCTGCAGCCGAAATTTTGTGTGCAGGGATTTGCCCGCCGAGGCTTTCCAGGGGGCGGGGCGCCGCGCCCTCCCGGGGGAGAAGTGAGGGCCGGAATGAACTCGCTGCATTTCAGGGACGGGAACCCGGTCCAAGTCGCACAGATGGTGAATGGCAGCGGGGGAACAGGAGCCCAGGTCTGACTCAAATCCTTGCCCGTGGGGTCTGCCCTACAGCCTCTGCATCCCACCCACCCTGCTTAGGCCAGGTGGTCTCTGCGGGAAGGATGGGGCCTTCAGCATCCCCTTATTAGGGCATGCCTTGGCTTCAGGCCTTGGGCGCTGTGAGGCGGGACTCCTCTAAGTAAATCAATGTACAATTTACAGATTAGCGGAAGGGGCCAAAGATAAGGGCGATGGCGAATCCTTTAAATAGTAAATGTGCCCAACCGGCGCTGCTTGCTTATTTAGTCCAGGACAACTCAGGAGAAAAGAGAGCGGGTTCAATTCACCTGAGGCCATTCATTGCACAAGCATTTCTCTTACTTTAAAAATTGACCCTACTCTAGCTGGTTTGGTTCAGTGGATAGAGTTTCGGCCTGCGGACTAAAGGGTCCCAGGTTCGGTTCCCGGTCAGGGCACATGCCCGGGTTGGGGACTCGGTCCCCCGTGTGGGGCGTGCAGGAGGCAGCCGATCCATGATTCTTTCTCATTGATGTTTCTGTCTCTCTCTCCCTTCCTCTGTTTGAAAACAATAAAAATATTTTTAAAAATAAATAAATAAAAATTGACTCCATGATTCCAGAATATGCTTTCTGAATAAGGACAGACACCTGCTTAGGTGTGTCTGAAAAACGGACTTTGATCTGAGGAATGGGAATAATTGGTTGGAAATGCCAACTGCTGTGAAAATTTCCTTTGCATAGCCTGCCGCAGACAGAGCTTCACTGGGGTAGGCTGTACACAGGATGATAACGAAAGCTTGGCCTGGCAATGGGCACAGATGGATACCAAAATGCAAGTTCTCTTTTCAGTTCAGTGAGGACAAAGAGGCAACTTACCAGTATCCTACTAAGTGAGTTAAGAGTAACTTTGTTCTCCATAAACTAAAATAGGAGGTCAGCCCAGCTGGCAGGTATGGACCTATGAACCAGGAAGTCACCGTTCTGATCAGGGTACATGCCCAGGTTGTGGGCTCGGCCCCCAGTGTGGGGCGTGCAGGAGGCAGCGGATTAATGATTCTCATCATTGATGTTTCTGTTTCTCCCTCTCCCTTCCTCTCTGAAATCAATAAAACTATATTTTAAAAAAATAAAAATAGGAGTTCAGTATTGTTGGCTAGAGCCTAGGATTTGGAATTCTATGCAGTCTGGCAGCTTTCTCATAGCACATGAGACTTAAATTCCAGCAGCTTTGGAAGAGGCACCATCAGTGCAGTCTTGAGTTGGTTGTGATGTATAGCTATTGCTTCTTTTTCTTTTCTCTTTTTAAAATTGTGGTAAAAACATGTAACAAAATTTACCATTTTTATTTTTTAAAAGTATATTTTTATTGATTTCATAGAGGAAGGGAGAGGGAGAAATAGAAACATCAGTGATGAAAGAGAATCATTGATCAGCTGTCTCTTGCCCACCCCACAATGGGCAAGTGCCCTGACTGGGAATGGAACCTTGACCTCCTGATTCATAGGTTGACGCCCAACCACTGAGACATGCTGGCCGGGCTTAAATTTTATTTATTGATTTGAGAGAGAAACACTGATTTGTTGTTCCACTTATTTATGCATTCATTGGTTGATTCTTGTACGTGCTCTGAGGTCATCAAACTGGAAACCTTGGTATATCAGGATGATACTGTAACCACCTGCAATACCTGGCCAGGGCTAAAGTTTACCATTTTTTTTAAAAATATATTTTATTGATTTTTCACAGAGAGGAAGGGAGAAGGATAGAGAGTTAGAAACATCGATCAGCTGCCTCCTGCACATCTCCCACTGGGGTTGTGCACGCAACCAAGGTACATGCCCTTGCCCGGAATCGAACCTGGGACCCTTCAGTCCGAAGGCCAACGCTCTATCCACTGAGCCAAACCAGTCAGGGCAAGTTTACCATTTTAAAGTGTGCAGTTTAGTAGTCTTAAGGACATTTACAGGGTTGTACAACAGATATTCTTAAGGTAAATTTTATATGCCTTTTCTCACAAAATTTTTAAAATATAAATCAACTATACAAATATTGCAAAGTTTATGTAAACCTCCCATATTTGCCTTATGTCACTTCATTGTTATCCCTAAATTTGCTTTTGTTTTTTGCCTAAACGGGCACAGTCATCAAGTGAGAAAGTCTTTCATCCACAGAGGTAACCTAGGCTAAATCTGGTCCATATATACTAGTGTGTTTTAGTTGGTTCACTTAGTGTTTTAAAAATTGGGACACTTCCTAAAAGTTTGGATTTCTGCCTCTCTTGAAAAACAAAACCCCTGATCTTTACTCGCAGGAGAGAGAGAGAAGCCATGACCTGGCTGTGCTAGATCATGTGACTGTATTTCCACAAACTGGGGGCTGGTAGAAGCAGCGTTGGAGAGTGTCCTCTTCCCCATTCCCACAGTGACCAACCTGAGCTCCACAGCAGGGGAGAAGGAAAGGCCAAAACGACATGAAGACCCAGAGAGCGACCATCTTACATGTTCCCAGATCCATTCTGGCTGTAGAAAGTGATTCTTTCTAGTAGAAAGTTCAGAGCTCTAAGGCTGCTGCAAACTTGAGCACAATAAATTACTTCATGAATTGCAAAGTTGAACTGACATCTCTAAGATTCCTTCCAGTCCCATGAGCCTATGAATGACCGGCTTTGTTCCTTTATGCTCCTAGTAATTCCATTTCACTGTCTTTAAGAACCCTGGAAGACACCTCTCAACTCCAAAAGGCAGTCTATCAAATGTGGGTCAAGTGCCAGCAATATGAGAATGTCTGGTTAGCTTGGTAAATGGCAGGATGATTTCAATTTCACAGGGCCTGTTTCCAAGAATGATTAATAACAAGAATTTTGGAGTCCTCATTTTTTAAAAATATATTTTATTGATTTCTTACAGAGAGGAAGGAAGAGGAATAGAGAGTTAGAAACATCGGTGAGAGAGAAACATCGATCAGCCGCCTCATGCACACTCCCTACTGGGTATGTGCCTGCAACCAAGGTACATGCCCTTGACCAGAATCGAACCTGGGACCCTTGAGTCCTCAGGCCGATGCTCTGTCCATTGAGCCAAGCCGGTTAGGGCTGAAGTCCTCATTTTAGAAAATTCAAAGCACTTCATGTAACTGAAGAAAGAAACATTAGCAGAAAGAAAAATGACCAGCAAGGAAAAAGAAGGCAAAAACCTGCACAAAAGCATCAAAGAGGTTTAAGATGTATTCCTTTTTTTTTATTGCTTAAAGTATTACAAAGAGTATTACATATGTCTCCTTCCCCCCCCCTTGACAATCCCCCA